GTATGTATGTATGAATGTAATGTTATGTAATGTGATGTAATGTTATGTCACATTAAGTCGTGTAATGTTATGTTATGTTACATCATGTATGTCTGTATGTATGTATGTATGTATGTATGTGATGTGATGTAATGTTTTTTCACACTAAGTCATATAATGTTATGTTATGTTACATCATGTATGTCTGTATGTATGTATGTATGTATGTGCGTATCTGCGTATGTGTGTATGTGTGTGTATGTGTGTGTATGTATGTATGTATGTATGTATGTATGTGTGTGTATGTATGTATGTATGTATGTATGTATGTGCGTATGTCTGTGTGTATGTATGTATGTATGTCTGTATGTATGTATGTATGTATGTGCGTATCTGCGTATGTGTGTATGTGTGTGTATGTGTGTGTATGTATGTATGTATGTATGTATGTATGTGTGTGTATGTATGTATGTATGTATGTATGTATGTGCGTATGTCTGTGTGTATGTATGTATGTATGCATGCATGCATGCATGCATGCATGCATGCATGCATGCATGTATGTATGTATGTATGTATGTATGATAGATATATAGATAGAGAGATAGATAGATAGATAAATAAATAGATATATAGATAGATTAGACAGATAGAAGCATCGATCGATAAATAGATAGATCGATAGCTAAATAGATCGATAAAAAGATAGATAGATAGATAGATAGATAGATCGATAGGTAGATAGATAGATACATACAAGGATAGATAGATAAATAAATAATTACATAGATAGACAACTAAATAGATAGATACATGGATAGATAGATGGATAAGGAGGTAAGTACATAGTCAGAGAAAAAGAAAGAAAGAGATGCGGACCAGGGGGGAATCGAATGGGGGGGGGGGCCCCCCCCCCCTAAGTCTCCGTTCGTGACTCTCGGCTCTCAATTTCCGGGAAAGGAGCACCCACCTCCCCCAGTACTAAACTAGTACTAAAGTACATAGAACTCAGGTAGCCTAGGCTACCTTTCGTGATCTGTAAAGCACATGGACCTCCCACAGCCCCCACAGCATTTCCGAAGCTGCCTAAGACTCAGCAAAGGTTGCGATATGTTGCGATTGCCTGGGCAGGTCTGTTCCTAGGAGATACCCCCAGCCAAACCTCAACGTCAGGCACCGTACAAGTCTTCCACCTTAAAATCCAAGTTGGACCATGTTGGACCACAATTTCAAAATGGATCACTTCCTACTTGGAATTGTGAGCTTATGCGAGCTTATGCGAGCTGCAAAACGAGACAGGTCAACACGTCATCCTAACGGTGAGACTTTCCACGACGCTCCGACTCGCCATTGTTGACCCGAAGGCTCTGCCCTTTTCATCCCTTTTCCACTTACAGGTCAGACGATCAGCTGCGTAATGAAACCCAACGAGGATGCGAGACCTTGAAGTCAAACGACTTGCCAACATTATAATATATTATAATCATTTTATAAACAATATAATATATATATATTCATTATATTTCAAACATATTCACAGCTTCTCGACTTCGATGTGTTTTGCATTGTTTTGCCCTGCATCTCCCTGTCAGGTTGACTTGCTGCACGTCACAGCCGATTGCTGAACTTATATTTTGGGCTGATATGTCATCAGCTCTATGGTATAAGTCCTGCAGGTGGAGACCGCTACATTTGCCCCATGAAGTGCCGAATCACGCAGCCTTCAGGTCTGTTTATCCGCAGCTTGTTGCTACATTGCAGGTTACACATGGATGTGAAAGACTTCAAGTTGTATCATCGCATGGCTTGCAACTGCCTGAGCTGGCTGATGCTTCTGGACATTGCTGGACATTGCTGGACATGTTGTGACCTATGTCACACGCATCACAAAACTCTCACTTGGGGTTGCGCAGGACAAGGATGACCT